TATTTTACAAAAATCAGCGTCTAAAAGCCATAAACTACACTCTATAAATTATATACGATGAGCCAAAAATATGCCCAAAACCAATCGGGCTATTTTGCCGCCGAAAACGGCTCGATCGCGCTATTTCAATGAGAAACTACTGAATCTAAACTTACCAAACAATACTATGAATTTTCTCCAAGGATCAAAGTAGAAACACTCACAAAATAAGCAGTTTTTTTCACTTGAAAATAATTCCGCACGTGCCTTCGCGAAATAGACAAGATGAATTTGTGAAGTACCGAGACAAATTCACATCATTCAAAACTACCTTCGTACTCACGAAGAGTGCCGAACTTTTTACGATTGTGTCCCGATAAAAAACACGAGAATCAATTGTGGTGACGCAAACCCGTCTTAATTTTATTTTTCATCCAATTTTTCCTCGTCGATATTCAACATAAATATATTTACGTATATTTACTTTGTTTTAAATTCTTATCTATGTAAAAATGACGGCTTAATACGGCAAAATTAGTATTTTTTGTTACAAACTATGTAAACGTATTCTGGCATATGTGATTTAGTGACGTAGCCCCTTAAATAAAAATGAAACTTTGGGACTCCCAGCATTCCCATGCCTCATTGCGGTCATTTTTTGACACTGATCTGTAAACGCAACCTGGACTATTACTTCAGTATTGACCTCAATGTGTAACTGGAGGTTTTCAATATCAGTGCACTGACCTCTATAAACTGAAGACACATCCGAAAGACCTCTGCATGTACGTGTAACTGGAGTCATATCTTCAGTATTCATGCATTTCAAAATGCAAAACACACAAAGAAACACAAAGACAAATTAAAGCTTCGATATAATAGCATAATGTCCATACTTTTTACACGTGAGCAGCACCGGTTTAAAAAAGTACTGTTTACTGGCAATTCGTGGGAAATTTTCCAATGAAACACGTGGGTGTTAAAACGACGCGATACCATGTAGCCGTGAATTAAATTTTGTCAATTTTGATCAAATGTATCATGTTTTAGTTCGAAGCAAGGCCATCTCTTCCAAGGAGTCATGATTTCATAAAATTTCTACCCTGACTGCTGCAAGTAAACCCTACTAAATTTTGTTGACATATTAATAATTCCCGTAAAATCTTAAACCAAAATATATATTAATCCCGAAAGACTTACTTTTTCGCTGGCGTCTTCGGCATTTTCCGAAGCGGACGATCTCGGGACATTCTCGTCAGTGAGACTTGCAGCATTTTCATTGCTTGATTGTTCCATAGTTAATAGAAAATAAACATGGTTTGGAAGCTTGACAAAAGTCATTGTTCTATGTTTTTGTCCAAGTTTATGGAAATTTGTGCACTCGGATTCTGTATAATGAGGTGATTACCCAATAAAAAGCTTAGTTTCAATCGCTGAACTGTAATATTTGAATATTAATAAACGCAAGACAAAAGATGTGTGCACTCGGAATTACATTTCAACATCAGTTGAAGTTTGAATAGGAAATTCTTTGAAGTTTACCGGCCTTCCTAACCATGTTTATTTCTATTAACTATGATTGTTCTGACGCCATGGTTCACTGTAATATCGCCTTTATTGTTCTCTTTGTGGTTACCATACAATGTGTTATACAATCCCCTCCCGCGAGGACGACCAGTTAGTTCGGATTTTCACCCATACCTAATTTTAGTGTGCAGTGATAACCAATTTGTGCAGTGATAAAAATGAAATGTGCAGTGATAAAATGTAAAATGTGCAGTGATAAAATTTGCTGTGATAAATTGTTAATTATATGAAGAAAATGAGGCAACAAGCAGAAAAAACTGAACTAAAAACTTGTCTTGTCACAAGAAAGTATTAATAATCATTTTGAATGAGAATATCCTGAATGAAATTGAAATAAAAGATGCCAAATTATCGAACGTCAGCACTAATATTATACTTAAGGTTGATCAAATGAACAAAGTCTCCCATCAAAGATCCGATCTCTTTATGAGCTTGGATGTTGGAGTGAATGATACTTAACTTTTTGTAATTGTATTAGTATATAATCTTCAGGATTCTATAGAATGTCCCCGCACATTGACAAAAAGGCCCTTTGAGAGAGGCTAGTACAAAATTTTCTGTGGGTGCATGCCCCAGGAACTCTTTCACAGTTTATCACATCTAAGCCGCCTCTTATTTATCAAGACGAAAATTTTTCGTTCCTGCAAGCATATGATTATCAAACTACGCTGTCATAGAAAGTCGTAACAGCAGGTGCTGTCAAGGCCGCCCAGAGGGAGGGGGCAATTTGCGCTGGACCCCAGTTAAAGGTGGCCCAAAAAAGAATTACATTGAAATATAGGTATAACTACCACCAAACTTCCAGAATGCAGGATTTGGCCATTTCTGGGATCTGAGTTTCAAAATTTTCCCAGGAGAATCCTCCCAGTTTCTCTTAATCATAGTGTTAGAAGACGGAATCAGGAGGGGCCACAACTCAATTTTTGCCCTGGGCCCCCAAATTTCCCTGGGGGACCCTGGGCGCTTTGCAGTGCATGTTGATTTTGGGATCATTTTATATATCAATTGTAGCCTGTCTTTTGGTTACACATTAAAAGGATGTGTTCACAAATTTTGAGGGCGTGGCTTCTGCTCGGCTAAAGTTTGCACAAAAATGTGCAGTGATAAAAAATTCTTAAAATTAGGTATGTTTTCACCTTGTATTGAAATGGCAATTACCTGGCTTGATCCTTTCCTGCTGACCTTAGATACAGCTATGCCGACTAAAAAATTTCAATTTATCTAATTTCAATTTCCCTAAAGCCATGTAGCCGCACTGGTAAACATTGCGTAACAGAGATCAAGTCTCGTAAATGGTAATTACCATTTTGAAAAACAGGTTGAAAGTGAATTTTTAAACCGGTTTTTACGATGTGAAAATGTTATATTCATCAACGATTTCCGCACATAAAGAGGGTCCTGAAGGGGTAAAATGGGAACTGGGATTTGCTTATTTTTGGGTGCGAAAATGGGATTTCATGCACTGGGACTGGGATTCATCAGCAAAAAAACAATAGAAAATGGGAATGGGATTAAGATTTGAGCAGGGCAGCCACTGAGATGATGGGATTTGTGCTCTGGGACAATGGGATTTAGTCAGCCTAGTCCCAGGCTCTCTCTCTATTCGCTGCTTTGATATATTTAAATAAGTCTTAAAAATTTTACCTAGGTCCCAGTCTCGTAGTACATCCACGTTTTTTTCTCGCGCTTGCTTCAGAACAACTGGGACTAGGCTGGGATTTAGTCAAAATTTGGGCTGGGAAATGGGAATACGACCCCCCCCCCCCCTTCAGGACCCTCCATAAATTATTCTTACGCCCATCCATGGCGCTATATTTAAAGACTTTAAAGAGGCATTTTGGCAATCTGGAACAATCTTGAAACAGTTTGTTCTCAGCCTACCCTAGGCAAACCATCGGGCTGTATCAGTATAATATGCGGAAGAGGTTATTGAAGAGTGACGGTTTTACTAACACTAACCCTATTCCAAACACCAACTCTAACCTTAACCCTAATCCTTACCCTAACCCTAACCCTACTCCAAGTTTGTTTCCAAACCAATTTTGAAAAAAAATTTTTGACGAAATGTCATTCTGAGGTCAGCGAAATAACTTCTTCCATAATTATGCATAGCTCAGTGAGGCAAACCATACCCAGAGTATGTTCACGCGGTAAAAATCTCACAGCTTGTCAACAAGATGTGTTCGCATTGCTTGTTCCCAGTTGTTGACGAACAAGTTGTTATCAATTATCTTGTTAAGATTGATGAAGCCAACACAAACAGACTCGTAACAAGTTGTTCCAACAAGTCTGTTAACAAGTTGATGACAACAAGCTCGTAGCAATTTGTTACGAACAGCCTGTATTAGTCTTGTTGGAACAACTTGTGGTAAGTCTGTTACCGTCATCAACCTTGTAACAAGCTGATAACAACTTGTTCCAGACTTGTCACAACAACTCGGGACACCATGGCATATCCTGTATATCCGTTCAACCAGACTATTCTGAGATACGCCCCCGAATGCAAGCCCCCCGAATATAAGCCCCCCGAATATAAGCCCCCGACTATAAGTCCCCCGAATATAAGCCCACCGAATATAAGCCTACCGAATATGAGCCCACCGAATATAAGCCCCCCGACCCTCGAATATAAGCCCGGGTATTTACGGGGATTCCAACCAGCTCAGACGAATGACGATAATTACATTACAGTATTATAATCATATGTCAACCAACTTGTTTTATTATGTGTCATATGCTGTATATTTACATTACCTTTCGTTCACAGTAGATACAATAAATAGTACTACTAACATGAAATGTCGTCCGTATATATAAAATCCCCCCCGTATATAAACCCCCTCCTTCCCCCTCCCAAGTACACGCTCTTCGAAAAATGCTTACGAACGAATATTCTGAGGTTTACGGTATTGTGAGTGAAAACCGTTTCTCACACCCCGGATAATAGGTGGGTGTGAAGCAAGGTGTGGCCCCCACCCACGCGAGGAAAACGCGGTTTCGATCTGTATTTGTGCAGAGTGATCAGAGCAAAGTATGTAACCCTGGACTCTTTTTAATAAAACAAAATATACAATTCACGTGCCTTTTATTTTCTAATCATTATTGTCCGGGGTATTTTACTATTTTAGGCACTTTCTATTTCCAGCAATTTTTGTCTACGTGCTGTTTTTCTCGAGTACTTTTTGTCCACTTTTTGTCGGATATTGAACAGCGGTGTTTCCACAACATATCATTTCGTTGATAAATTTCCAAATTTTCTGTGCATTTTTGCATTTAGAATTTACTGAATTTACTAATTTAGTGCATGTTTTAAAACGTTTTTTCTTCTGTAAGGATACTTTTAGTTTTTGATTTTTCATAAAATAGTGTTTGCATACTTGTATTCTCTGTGGTTTGGCTTAAATTTTTAAAATTGAAATTAAATATAAAATTTTCAATAAATTTTCCTTAAAATTCCTCAAAAAGGAAACATTCTAGTGTCATTTTCGCAACCGTGGAACTTCCGGCGATGACGTCATAGCAAGCCCTCGAGCTTCGCTCTCTATTATTGTCCATTTCACTGGTGTATATTCTTGTCAAAAACTTCAATTTTCACGGCGGTTTGGAAGAACTGAAGTGTATCATAACAAAACGTAGTGGACATGAGCTTCCTTTTGTAAGTAGGCAGATTTTTGGTCCTGTTTTACGCACCGATCTCGCGAAAGCTTGGTTTGAAAATACGACATGCGAATGTTTATATATGTGTTCAATTGCCTCGATTTATGGATTAAATCGTGTTTTCTGGATTCAGTGGATGTTATATACGATTGCTACATACGTCTTTCTCTTTCTATAGTGGGAGCAGGTCTACGAAAACCTTTAAACCGAAGAAAAACATCCCCGAAGGCACGCATCAATATGATTTAATGAAACATGCTGCCGCGACTTTGGGAAGTGGTAATCTAAGACTGGCCGTTGTTCTACCAGATGGAGAGGATCTCAACGAATGGGTTGCTGTAAATAGTACGTAGTCATGCCCTCCTTCGTATTTTCATGGTTTAGATTGCTTTAAACTACTTAGAATATCGAAATCGAATTATGATACTACACAACATTCGCACATGACATAGCCACTCTGTGTATATACATTTAAAACTATAAGCAGTATAAAAGCAGAAAGTATTGTTAAATTCTCGTTTTTTTCATCTACAGGATTTAACAGGATTTAACAGTATTTTCTTTTTTACAAAAGACCTTAAAAATATGTAGTAATCTTATTACCACAATGCTAGAAAAATATTTATTTAAACGGATGTAGCATCTGTGATAGAACTTGTGAAATTGAAATAATGTATTGAAGTCCTTTTGCTTTCATCGAATATAAAATCCCTGGTTATTTAAGTTCTAAATTAAAACTATGCTTTAATATTTCTAGCTGTAGATTTTTTTAACCAGATCAATATGCTTTATGGAACTATCACAGAATTCTGTACGGCCGAATCGTGTCCTGTGATGTCTGCCGGCCCGAAGTAAGTATAAACTCACTTCTCTCGTCTGCAAATTTGCCCCTTTTCTTTGCCTTATTTTCTTTGCAATTACTTCTAGAGAACTTCCTTTTACTTTGAATTTTTGGGGAGTGTTTTAAACTAAGGAATGCGGCTTCTTGTCTCCCCATATCCCGTTGTTGTGAAACTATTTCCTGATTATGTCAACGCCATATTTATAATGTGTCATCGTTTTCACTATTGTTCACACTTTGAAATCCTAACAATTGTACAATTTAGCCACCTATTTTGCTCCGGCGTTTTCCTTTCAAATGCTTGTCGTAGTCATCGCTAATCTTATCTTTTTTTAACCAAAATATGACAGGTAAATAGCACTTTCAAATGTTTTATAATAAAACAATTTTGATATAAAACCACATTGTATTCTAAGCTTGCTACTACCTGCTGTCGACGAGTTCAATTTTTTACAGTATTGAAAACTTCAAATGACATATATATTGTTCTACTAAAACTAATCGTTTAAATAAAATATACTGTCTTAAAATTAAGACATTTCTTTGAGAGTATTTTCCATTGAAACTATAATCATCAATGCATTTTGTACTATAATTTGTGGTCAAGTTTTGACCTGCATGGCTATTGTGGTATAATCTTGGCATTTTTCAATGATTAAAAAATGCCAAAACACACAGAGAATTTTCATACTATTTACTTTTCCAAAATTGCAACTAAAGGTATCAATCAACCGGTGATTAGGAAACTTCCTTAAATAGAAATGCAAAAGTATTAATGCTGGATTATCAAATTCCTCAATTTGATGTCTGAATAACTCATTCTGCAATGCATTGCTTGTAGAAATCTTCCTTGTTTCAATAGAATCATTTATACAATAAGCTGTTTAGCTGAATTACCTGAACATATTAAAAAAATTGCAAACATTTTTGTTCCTGAAGGCAGATTTAGACTACACAACTTTTGCCTAAAACTGTCGCATGCAACCTTCTTACAACTTGAGTTGTACTGTGTTGTCTACAACAACGTAGGCAAGTTGTGTGCTTGATTTACACAGTACAACTCAAGTTGTAAGCAGGTTGCATGCGAAGTTTTAGGCAAAAATCATGTAAATCGGCCTTACCTGATTGGGGTGTTACCACAATGTTACATAGAAACTGCACCCGCACATACAAGATATAATCTTTGGCACACACAAGCTTTTTCAAGGGTTTAATACAGCTTTTCATTTTTGCAAAAACAGGTACGAGTACCATTGGGCGGACGGACAAACCATAAAACGACCAATCAAATGTAGCGCGCCTAAATATATCGATTATCTCATGTCCTGGGTTCAAGACCAGCTCGATGATGAAACTTTATTCCCTTCTAAAATTGGTGAGTATAGACGGTTGTGTGATGTAATGACGAGTGCATGCAAGGCAAAGCCATTTCTCTTTCTGCAAGACGTCAGCATCAATGGTGGGATTCCTGGTCAAAAATGGTCAAACCATGGTCAAAAATGGTCAAACCATGCGAGATAACCAACCACAACTCTACTTACAGAAGTTTTCAAAAATACATGACAGGGGGGCAAGTAACCCATCCAAGTAATACTGTATCTTCAGCAGGTTTATTTCAGTGTAAGAACCCATGCTCAGTGAATATGTGTTCCCCATTTAGAATTAACCCAATGAGCACCAGCACTTGGTTATCGTTCCATGTTTCACGCACCAATATAAGTTAGGGGTTAGGTATTAGGGTTAGGTTTAAGGTTAGGGATAGGGTGTGTATATATGTGTATGGAGGTATTCAGTTAACTTTTCAGTACAATATAATATCCACTACATAACATTTACTATGTTGGTGCGAAACATGGAATGATTACCCAGCACTTCTACTTGACAAGTAAAATCATCTAGCATTAGACTGGTAGGGTGCATTTGAGTGCAATTCAACTTAATGGGTTAAACTACTGTATTAGAATTGTTTAAATTAAAATTTAATTTTCCAAATAATTGTTTATTTTCATTGTTTCACAGGAGTTCCATTTCCAAAGAACTTCCTACAGATTGCAAAAACAATCCTGAAAAGATTATTCCGAGTTTATGCACACATCTACCATCAACACTTTCAGCACGTCGTCGACTTAGGGGAGGAGGCGCATCTCAACACATCATTCAAACATTTTATTTACTTTGTTCAAGAATTTAACCTTGTCGAGAAACGCGAACTAACACCATTGCAAGAACTGATAGAAAAGCTCACGAATAAAGATAGAGCGTAGATTTAGTTTGGGAAGACATGACCTGGTTTTGATTTGCAAATTTGTACAGAAAAGTAGTTTCGTTTAGAACTCCAACTCCAGGACCTTTTCTGGGATAAATAAATCTTTTCCAGGACACGAAGGTTTTACAGTAACCTACCATGGAGTAAAACGTGAAGATATGTTGAGTTTTATTTTGCAGCTGAGCCTGTGCAATGTTATCCTTGCTTTAAGGATATGGAAGCTAGTTAATATTGAAGAAAAAATACCAATTTGTCTTAATTGGGAACCTTTATCAATTCTAATAAGACAATATCACTCTGGTAATTCTAATTATTGCTTGAGCATTAAGTTAATAATTTTACACTTTATGGAAACAGGAAAACACACTTGCAAACTGCAGGTTTTATAAATTATATCTGATAAATTAAAGGAGGGTTATGTCCTGAGCAAAATCATTTCCACTAGAAATTGTAAGAATTTTTTTGAACAATCAAAAGCTGTAAATTAAAAAAGACTATAAAACATTTAGTTTCGTATCGCGTTTAGTTCATAATTTTTTAGCATAGAAATCCCTGTGTAAAGATATCATTTTGTAGAAATAAAATTTGTTTCTGTTGGAAATCTACTGTTAAGAAAATCTGTGTGGACTGTTGTTTTCATACACGAAAATTGTTGGGTTTCATATGTCACAAAAGTGAGGGGGGGGGGTGTGTTCGGGTCAACTCTTAAAACAAAACACAGTTATCAGAGTGAGTCGATTGTTCGTTTTATGTATTAGCCTTGTGCTTGGTGGCAAATGCATGGAATTTTGTATCATTTTCTCACTCCAGTACAGCATATGTAAGCATCAATACATTTGAGGTTGACCCCCTGTCAGATTCACTGCATAATGCCATAGTGAAAACCAAGAATACAGCCATGGTAACTTTGTTTCACCAAGCACCATTTTTCAGCAAAGGTTGGTCAGGCTCTAGTTAACCCATTGAGTTGCATTGCACCCTGATGCACCCTACTTTAGTATTTTACTCTGTCTAACACCAGACAATTTTACTTGTCAAGGGGAGAGTGCTGGCACTTAATGGGTTAACTGCCCTATCTGCCCATGTGTCTAATTAAGGCATTGAGTTGCATTGCACCCTGATGCACCCTACTTTAGTATTTTACTCTGTCCAACACCAGACAATTTTACTTGTCAAGGGAAGAGCGCTGGCACTTAATGGGTTAATTGAGTGAGAATATGTTTTAATCATTTACTATTACTACACTATAGAATAGGGATGTGCTGCATACTTTTTTGCCAGATACCAGATGGTACCACATAGCAGTCTACCAGATAATAACCAGATATACTGATGGTGGTACTTGGACAATACATCACTATCTTTTTGTCATAAAATAGTCCATTGTCCATTTAGTATGTGGCACAAGGATCATCAGATAATATGCAGCAGACAGCAGTTCACATCACAAAAAACGTAACTGTAGTTTTAATATGTCACATGTCCAGTAGACTAGTTGTTTGTGTTTCACAGTATCTTGAAGCAAAACAGACGGTTAAATTGTGGTTATAATAAAAAGTTTCAGTACCATCCAGTAAATATCTGGCAGATTTTTACTGGATACCGAATGGTGCTGGATGTGACATTTGTCTATATTTTGCCAAATCCGATAGCAAAATTAAGCTGGTAACATTTCACACAATTATTGTTATATTTAATATACTCTTACTAATTACATAAAATCATTAATTTCGAAGAACTCCATAAACTAGCTATCTACTGTACTGTACATGCTTCCTTGGGATATATGTCTCTAGAATTATTGAGTACGGTATATGTGACAAAAATATCTTGAATGGATATAAAATATAGTTGTATATATATAAACTGGGAATGCTCATATATTCATTCTAAAGTTTCTTCAAACATCAAAACACAAGCTTTTTGGGATGTTCCCAGGTGAAGTCTTCTCCTGATTTGAAATGTCCATAGATACATGTCTTTTCAAAAATTGGACGTTTTAATTTCAAATCTCTGTGAACAAAAAAACATCTTTGTTAGACTGACATACTTGGTGGTATTTAATTTAAACGTTTCTCTAGAGGACCAGCAAGAGTCATCTCTTATTGATCCAGTGTTAATACAGGAGGAAACCTAAACTAAACTAACTTTATTTATACAGGATAGCTCTATCAGTTTTAAACTGTTCTTGCAGCCTAGATATCCAGTTAGGGCTCAAGAAACAAGCTAATTTTTCTTTCTTACCTGACAACAACACCAGGCCTAAAATCAAAATTCTTTTTCACAATTTCTAATAATTCTTCATCACTTTTCTCCCCACTACCATACGAGAAAACCGTGATTGACAGAGGCTCAGCAACACCAATGGCGTACGAAACTTGGATAAGACAGCGTTTGCACAGTTTTGCTGCTACAAGAGATTTTGCGGCCCATCTTGCAGCGTAGGCCCCTGAGCGGTCCACCTAGAACACAGAGTGTCATTCATGTAATATTATATTGTCATTCATCTTGTAAATAATCATACCTACAGCATAGAGGCAGGGACATTGCTAAGGCATCAACATT